AGATATACAAATATATATCAATATATTTCTAACTCTATAAACCATTTAGCACTCTACTCACGACTGAAGTAGTGCAGTGTGTAGATGAGAGCCAGAGCCAGGCCCGCGGTGACTCCAACCAAGGGCCACAGAACCATGTAGTCACAGCCATCTAGAGCAAACACACAATATACACAGCAAGGTGTCCTTAAGTGTAATTTATTGCACTGTAGCCATGTGATATAATCAGACATTACTGATCTTCTGACCTGTAACTTCACAAAGTGCTTTCACATCATGAGGCGTATGAACTCCAGCGATGACATACAACAGACAGATTATGAACTGCGATTTACACAAGCTCTCGTTTAACTCACCCTGTGCAAAATTCTTCTTCGGGTGACAGGCACAGACGGGCTTGACTGGAGGCTTGAGTGTCGTCTTTGGAGGAGAGGTTGGAGGGGTCACTGTCAGAAAACAACCATAAAGACAGGTGACAACTAAACATACAAACTGAGGCTAGACAGTAAATAATCTGTTAAGGACCTAAAGAGATTTAGAAATGTTCAACCTGTCCTTATTTTTCAAGCACTTGTTGGACCACAGTCTAAGGCACAAGTTCTTTCTACAAATACGTCATGTATGTTGTTTGCGCATGACTTGTATGTACCTGTTGGGCCAGTTTGCAGTTTTTCTTTAAATTCAGCTCAAAGACATTAACATACTTATGAACTGATGTCAGTTTTATCACTCAAAAACTTGTAGTATTGTTTGTACATACATTCGGAGCATCCAATAACACAAAGCGTCTTGTCGCTGCACTCAGATCAGTGATGCTAACTTGAAAACATAGCCTTGCTCAGAACTAATAATTGAAGGGAAAGGATTAATACACATAGTATCCAATAAGATCATTTTTTCATTTTTAACCTTTAGATAGTAGAAAGTTGAGAGTTAAGAAAGATAACAAGAGAGGGACGTGACAAACTAAATCTGTGCACGCCGCATTGTACCTGGTGCTACATAAAGTCAAAATCTTCATTGTGCAATAAGTGTTAAAATATTGTGTTAAATGTCATTCAGATGTAAATGCGGATATTTGTTGAAGATTTTCGTTTGTAGCCACTTAAATCACTTTCTCCTCCACCTGCCACCTGAGCTCAGACAGAGTCCTTCAAACATAAGATTTTTGCCTGCATTCTTGAAATTTCAGCGTACAAACCTCCCGGCCAAAGGACAGTCCCAGGCTTCCATACTTCTGTACCGCTCTTGGCCTTAAGGACACAGGAATAAGTCCCTGTGTCCTCCTCTGTCACGTTCTCGATGCGCAGCACAAAGGCCGTGTTCCCTCTCTTGCTGAGTTTAAACCGAGCCTTTTCTACGCCAGGCCCGTAGTTAACACGCTCAGCATTGTTGCATTTGCCTAGGAACTGCAGGATGTTGGGATTGGGAGTATTGCGGAACCAGTAGACAGAGTCACAGGAGTTGTTGCAGTTGCAATCAATATTCTCCGGAGTGGAGATCTTAGGATACAGAACTTTGATGGGTTCTTGCAGGAGGATCTGGCTCACACCTAAGCAGCAGAAACAAAAGAACGCTTGAGACACTTTTAGTACAACTCCTACAATCTGAATTGGGGGTTTATGATAATATATCATGAACAGTTGAGGCTTTCGAACGCTTGAGCGCAGTCGAGGCCAAACATTAAAATCATGAATTGTCCTTAAATGGTTACTCAGTCATCTTTGTTTAGAAACATTTATCAACATCGTGCACGTGCAGTCTCTCTAATCCAAATTATGACTTTATGAAAAGTAAAAGCACAAACAAGTGATTGCGCTTCAATCAACGCAGAATAACGTAACATAGAAACACTACCACCCCTATCAGACTGGAGATGAAGCCAGAGTGTGAAGAAATCTCTTGAATATATTTTAAACTTGTGAAGGTGACATTTTAAAATGGCTTTAGGAGACGACTGCCTGAGCATTTGAGCAATGTTTAAGGGATGACTTCATTGGAAGTGTTGTTTAAAGTCATGTGTGTAGGTTTACGCCTGTTGCAATCACCCGTCTTATGAAATATCTAAAAAGGCAGCCTGTGTGTGTGGAAAGGTTAAGACTGATTGAACTGTTGTATGATCATCTTGTTCTTGTCACGAAATTTACAAACTGCGTAGTGTACAAGAATTCACCAAACAGATGTTGTATTTATCTAATGAGTCTGACTCTACAACACAACTCATCTAAATGCTTTGATACAGCGCTATAAGTAATATAAATGAAAGATTTAAAATCAACCTGCCGCAGAGCACAAGCTGGGTCATGACTGTAACTTTAATCCTCACCGTGCATTTTGCATCTTTGTACTAATAAACTAATTTACGTATTTACTGCATCAGTTATATATCGTATAGTACAAATCCTGAGATAGAAAAAATTAGGTGACCTGCACGGCAGTTTGGCAATTACAGTTTTAACAAATGAATCAAAGGCTGCTGGGTCGGCCGGTTCAAACTGTCCAAATCAACAGATGGATCCTTCAAAACTTATTTCCTTTTTTAGCCAGAACTATTAGGACTAGAATTGTTTTAGACATACTTTAACTTATAAGTGAGATACTTTTCAGTTTGAGAAGACAACAACACATCCCTCGCTACAGGCCCCTGACCGAGTGATGATGTCGACAGTGAGTCTCACAAACAAACGCAGATATTTAGAAATACCGTGGTCCTACCTGCTGTCCACAGAGAAACAGTCAACAGCGTCCATGCCAGCGGCAGCGGGTTCATCTTGTCTGGTCACCAGTGTGTGTGTGTACGCGTGTTTATATGTTGAGTGGTAGCTGAGGGAAACTGATGATACTTTCTTTTCCTGCTTATCTATCTGTCAGAGATGAGGAACTGAGCAGACAGGGCCCTGTGAGTCGTCAAGGTGAAACCCCAGTGTGACGCACACAGGGCCTATCAGAGTGGGTCACACAACGAGACTGCTGAAAAGACCATTTACACTGAAGCGTGTGTAAAACATGACAGACAGCAGGGGAAATGATTCCAGCATCAAACAGATGCTGATCACCCGATCCAGATGTTTGTGTCAAATGAACAACAGTTCACCTCAGAGATGTTTGTTCGTGGAGAAACATTCAGCTCTCCATAATAATGATTTAGTTTCTCATGGATGATGACAAAGTGACGAAAACATGGAGATGTTTCACCACAGCTGACATGAGACCACATATCAAGCACTATAAAAGTAATTTGTTACTTGCAGCAGTTTGCAGCTCTGCGGTCTCTGCCCAGGTGCATGACCTAGAGCTCAGCGGAGTCCTACATGTGGCAGCTTCACGCTGCGCTGCAGAGCACGGATAGGGAATACCAGTGTACGGAGCTTAAACTTTAGGTAGGAGCTGGAAACAAGGAGTCAATAGTATAAATGATGTATTGTATGTTCCTGTTATTTCTGTCCTGTTCAGGGTGAGTGTGTACAGCAACTTCACTTCTTTCTCTTAAAGGTCCAGTGTGTAACATTAAGGTGAAAGGGAACTATTGGCAGAAACCTATTGTAGAATAATTCTCATGATGTTTTCACTAGTTCGTTTCATCTAAATTGTATGAATTGTAGTTTTCTTTACCCCAGAAAAGGCCCTTTATATTTAAATACTTTATTTTTACATTGAGTGGGTCCTCACTACGGAGGCCACTATGTTTTTTACATTAGTCCAGACTGGACAAACTAAACACCTTTTGAGCTTTTATGACAACTGAAGCTACCACAGGTTCTTTTTCATGTTTGGAAGGGGAGGGTGAGGTGAGGGGTGTTCAGCTGCAACGTGTAACTTCAACACTCGATATCACTAAATTCTACACACTGAACCTTTCAACTGCGAGAATGAATACGGTTTTTACATGTGCACACTATTTTGTAAAAATAAACTGTATAAATGTTTCATTCTCTGTGAAAAAGTTCATTTCTATTCAGCAGCATCAGGAAATACTGCACTGATATCAGTGTCAGTGAATAAAATAGTTGAACAGTGAAATCATTAATTCTTAATCAACTATTATTATGTTTGAAATGATGTTTTTAAACAGGTTTTCCAGTTACTTTAATGAGCAGAATGTTTTGATACTAAGTGGGACATTTGAACTTAGGGTTGCAGCTACCAATTATTTTCAGCATTGATTGATTTGTGTTTTAATTGATTAATGGCTCAGTCTTTAAAATGTCAAAAAAAGTGTAAGATGTCCCTTTGCAATTCTCAAACGTCTTGGGGTATTTTCTTTAAATAAACTTTGCCAAATATCCACCAAAGGTACTTCACTTATGTAACAGAAAACAGAAAATCTTTGTTTCAAAAACTGGAAACAATGAACGACATAGGATTTGTGCTCATCTATTCAAGTTATAACCCCAAATAACATTTGCATTTATGAGCCGTAATGACTCCAATGCATTATGAAGACTCAAGGAGCTGCAGGATATTTCATAGCAATTTATATGACTTTGAAAAACACATTTCAAATATGTTTATCCATGTAAAACTGGTATTTTATATGACTGTTCACAAGTTCTATCATCCACAGACTGATAAAGCTGAGCGTGTGTGTGTGTTTAAGGTTAGGGCGTAAAGCGGTCTGGTGGGGGTCTTAAAATGAGAGGATGTGGGCACCCTATCGCTCTACGGGGGTCGAAGCCTCGAGCGACACAGGGAACAAGACCACAGGATTCTTTGAGAACAGGAGATCTCAGGGGGGCTCAGACGGAGCTGCTCTTTACACATCGCTCTGCTACAAAGCCTATGTCGGTCTCTGTGCGCCGACACTTCAAGTCAAAGGCAACTCTTGTTGTTCTCATTTCACTTTTCTCCTGCTGTCATCAGCTATTTCTGCAAAAGTGTAGTTCAGGTCCATATCATTGCAAGTGCCACACATTTAGGAGTGTGTGTGCTTCTCATCAGCAGTGATTCAAACAAATATGATTTAAATTCAAGTCTTTGCCACAGCAGCGTTTCATCATCTTCATCAACTTCTGTGGTTTACATTTTTCATTTAATAAAATAATAATAGTAATACATTTTATTTGGATGCTCCTTTTAAGTCACCCAAGGTCACCTTACAAAGAAAATAAAAGATTAAATGATCAGAAACAACGTTAAAAAAAAGTGAAGTGCACAGTGTCCACTTGTAGGGAGTATGCCACTTTAAACAGGTGGGTTTTGAGTTGGGACTTGAATGATGTGATGGAGTCTGACTGTGTTATGTGTGGGGGGAGGGAGTTCCAGAGCCTGGGTGCTGAGCAGCTGAAGGCTCGGGCACCCATGGTACTGAGGCGTGACGTGGGGATGGTTAGCAGTCCAGCAGAGGTTGAGCGGAGGGTGCGGGAGAGAGTGTATTCATGAAGGAGGTCGCAGAGGTAAGTGGGGGCTAGGTTGTGGAGAGCATTTGCTATCAACACGAGCACTGAGCTGTGATCAAACTTCAATTCAAGTCTTTTCAGTGGTTATTTCACTTGTAACGTTTAAAGCATGTTTTTGGAATCCTGTGGCACACTAATTAGTCTGTTTAACCAGTACGTACTGTGCACCAATCTGCTCCAAGGCTCTTGAAGCAATAGCAATAGTCCTTATACTGAACCTTAAACTGACCCGTTACCCTAGTGGCCTGTTAGAGCATGTAGCTTCTTATGGCACCTGTGTTTAGAGTCTTCTCAAAGTCCACAGTGTGTTCAAATTCGTTTGATCTGCCATAGTTCACGCAGCTGTCTACAGTAGAAGGTTATATATCACTTATTGGAAAGGTTTTCTCCACAAATTACCATGTTAATACTTTGAAGAAATTATAGAACTCAAAAACTGAGTCATGCAGGCAGAAGTGTTTTATGGGGAATGAGTATATAGATCAGTCAGATGCTCAGCCTGTCTGGGTATTTATATTCTAGACTGGTCAGAAACTACTTTCCTTATGAATCAAGAAAATTTGGATTAAAGTAAATAACTTTGTCTCTTCGGGCACCTTTAACTATTGTCAACTGCTTCGGTTCAGTTCATCACAGATTGCTCCTGAACATGAATTCTGAAGTTTGTAAAAAGCTGCCCTCATTTGAACTATTGCACCTGTTTGACCACAAACACGTTATGTGCTATTTACATGTGCAAGTGTGTCACACATGCATTCACAGACAATGCATTGTAGACTGGGGCAATGCCTCCACACACTCCTGTTTTCTTTTAATTGTTGCAGTGAATGTATAAAGTGCTCAAGGCTTGTTGTATCATATCATTTACATTATATTCAAAAAACACTTGAGTGTGCACTTGTAGCCTTGTCTGTGTCTTTCTGAAGTGAAAGAAGACATTACTTCACAAGAAATAAAATGACTTGAACTTCCAACATCTGCTTTACTTTGCTTTACTGATGCTCAACAGCGCCAACCACAAGCTGCTAGAGGGATCACAATCAAACACATCCTTGTCAGTAGCAAACACAAACATAATATAAAATAACGACGTGTTAATTAACAGGTCAAGAGGTCAACATCTGATGTTGACTGTGCACATTCATTGAATCAAATATATTAATAAGTGTCAAGGTGAAAAAATAGATATCCCAGCTGAGCTATATGTGTAATGTAAACCCTCCAAACACAATGAAGTAACATTTGATTTGTGTTCAGGAGTTAACACAGCTATGGAGAACAACACTTTCCCTGCAGATGGTGACATTTGCTTTGTTAACTGTAATCAACATGATTTTAATAAATGTATTAATACATAGTTTTTACATTTTCAAAATCTTGCTCATAATTCAGAGGAGTATTAACAGCCCAGGATGGAGTCATCCCACAGCTTCTCCTCTTCCGTCCTAGTGTCTACTCTCTCTTTCGTCTTCTTCTTCTCTTTCCTGCATTTGGGTTTGGCTGATTCATCCTGCTCCCCCTCCCCCTCTGCAACATCAATTTCAGCCTGAATATGCACTTCAGTGTATTTTGTATTGTCCATATCTTCTAGCTTTACATTGTCCATCGCCCCATCTCCTCCTTCCTCCTTGAAGTCCTCAGTCTTTTTGTCTTTTCGTCTCCTCTTGCCGTGTTTCTTTTGCTTTTTTCTCCTCCTCTCTTGCTCCCACTCTCCAGATTCCTCCCGTTTCCTTAGAATTTTCTCATCGTCTCGTTCCTTCCTCATTTGCCATTTTTTCTGGCTCTCCTCTTTGTCGAAGTCCTCATCTCTTGCTCTCCGCCCTCTCTCCTTCTTGGATCTTCTAATCTTCCTCCTTTCTCTCCGCTTGTATTTGCTGTCATCACTGTCACTCATGCTACTGCTATCAGAAGAGGAATAAGAGGAAGAGGAAGATGATGAGGTAGTGTACGAGGAAGAGCTGGACTGCTTTCTGCGCCTCCTTCTTTTCATGGGCCGACTATTGAACTGTGGAGAGCCTGAGCCGGGGAGGACTGGAGGAGGGCAGTTGTAGTCCCAGCTGTGAGGAGGCCACGCAGGGCCCTGAGATGGAGGACGCCACCCTTCAGCAGGGTAGTAACCACTAGGGCGGGACTGATGAGGGTCAGACGTGGGAGTAAGGTTGGGTATAGGTTTGTTTGGTTCAATATGGCTCTTATCAAACACTTCCTTTCCTTCATCTCCCTCATCCTCCATATATGTTTCCCCCTGAGGGTGGACTTCACCGGTCTTGGGAGTAATTCCACGAGCTTTCTGAGCCTGAATGTAATCTGCCAGTTCATCTGCAAACGTGCCGTAGACTTTCTGTTGGGCTTTGCACAGATCGGTGATCTTCTTCTCCCTGTTGAAGAGCATGTGAGCAGTAATT